CAGTGAGAGCACTGGAAATCATATATATGTGTATATATTAATAAAAAGAAAGAACAGTAAGATATATAATCCAGTTTACTTATTGATATTTTTCTTTTTTTTTTCTTTTACAAAACTGCTCAATGTAAATTTACAGAGTATAAATATTATAATTTAACTGATTGAAAATGTTTTTTCGCTACACAGTGATAACCATGTTTCAAAAATGGAAGCTAAAAACTTAAAATTTAATTATATAATTAAATTAAAAGCATTAGTTCCGTTTCATCTTCAAGTGAATATTGAAATAACTTATTTTTAAATTTACTGGGTTTTAAATGCACATATAAATTCATAATTTACTGTTTCCAAGGATACAGAGAAATCCAATCATTTAGACAGGGGCTGTAGCATGTTCATTTTTATTAACTATTGTTGTATCAATTATGAGTTACGTTCGAAAAAGAGGTTAAGTTTAGGGAGGGTAGGGGTGTATTTTTCAATGAATTCTGACATCTGTTAAATGCATGTTGTCTGGGGTTTTTTATTAACAACAAAAAGTTTTTCGGCATTTTTTCCTTACTTGTATACTTAAAGATTCTTTTTTTACGTTTTATTTAACTACAATTTTAAAATATTTTTTACTCTTAATTACTAATAGACTATATTTCTTTTTAAAAACAAGTAAATGTAATAGAATTACTTACATTATTTAAATTTTTTTTTTTTTATCAAATATAAGTATGTATATTACTAGCTCCCATTTTTTTAATTTTATTTTTAATTATTTAAGGAAAATTTTTGACAATGACAGCAAAAAATAGCTATTTCATTCGCTTGAGGATGAAATGGAACTGTCTTTAATTTAATTACAAAATTAAATTCGAAGTTTTTAGCTTCCATTTTTGAAACATGGTTAGAACTGTGTAGCGAAAAAAACATATTTTAAATCATTTAATTTATAATATTAATGCTCTGTAAATTTACATTGAGCACTATTTTATAAAAATAAAAATATCTATAAGAACACTGGATTATATATCTTACTGTTCTTTCTTTTTATATATGTGTATATATATATATATATATATATTCCTTGGAATTATTTAGTGGAAAGAATTATTTAAAATTTTCTGAATTAATTCCCCACTGCCTTTTCTTCATGTGCATATGTATTTTCATCAGTGTGGGCATATATTTAGTACCAGGGTTATGTCTGGTGGGGAATGCGTTGCACATTGTCTTTTATACTCCTTGTCATACTCTTTTCTCTTAAAATTCTTCTTGATATATAAAAAGAAATTATATCCATGACAAATGTGTTTGTATTAGTGTATTTATTTTAAAAAGGTTTTTCTCACCTGAACCCTACTTTGAAGGGAGTTCCACAGGTGGGAAGTGCAGGAAAAAGAAACTGTTAGCATAGAAGTGGCGGTTACATTTAACTAATTTTTCCGTAAAAGGGTGGGACCTAGGTGCCAATCTAGTAGCATGCTTAAACTCATATAGACCAGGCCACAGGGAAAAAAATATTTGTAGAAAAGATGTTTGTGAGAAAATGACTGAAGTCAAGATGCCAAGTCAGGATCATTTACATTGCAGATTCTTCTTTGGATTTGCTTAAGAACCTTGAGAGAAGTATCAGTGGCACCTGACCAGATATAGCAACAGTATTCAATGCACAGTCAAATGATAGATTTGTAAATGTGCAAGATGGACTTTGATGAGAAAAACCTTCTGGCACAACATAGTGACCCAGCTTTCCTTGCAGGAGATGCAGGTATTGATTCAATGTAGCCATTCCACTTCAAGTCAGTTGAAGACATGAGGCCAATAAGGCACAGTGTGTTGCTCTCCATGAGTCTAGCGTCAATCATGCTGATGGCAGGCAGGAAAGTTTCTATATGGTGATTAAATAAGAGTAGTTTAGTTTTAGAGGCATTAAAATTTATGAGCCATTTCCTGCCCCAGTTAACCATAGATTGGAGGTTCTTTTTAAGAGCAGCAGCCAGGTTAATTAACTTTTTCAGCTCTGGCAGATTTGCTATTGAGACAGGAGTAAATGGTAGTGTCATCTGCATAAATGCCTACTTAGTGACTGATGACATCAGGAAGATCATTGATGATGATCATAAACAATGTAGGACCCAGGATAGAGCTATGGGACCACCCACGTTCATGTGAAAGTAACTGGAAGCGAGCCCATTCAAAATGACCTTCATTTCCCGATTTTTATAGGAATGATTGGATTGAATCAAACAATCATCCAGTAATGCCATAACCTTGGAGCTTATGTCCCAAACCCTGTCAAATGCTTTTGAGATATCTAGACCACAGCTCGAGCTTTGCCATTATGGCTGTTAGCACATCAGCAATAGACCTGGCAAAATGGAAGCCATATTGTTTGTCAGAGAGTAGGTTGTGAGAGGTAAGATGCTTAACCAGTTCATCATTGATTAAAGTCTTGAATACTTTGCTGAAAAGTGGTAGGAGACTAATAGAGTAATAGAGGGGTCAGAAGGTTCTCCAGATTAAAAACAGAAACTTTTATATATATATATATATATATATATATACACACACACACACACACACACTTGTGGATGATAGGTAGATTACTTATCTATAAATTCATACACACAGACATCCAGGTTTCTACCCAGTGGATAGTATTTCATCTTCAAGATTATAATAGACCAATTTCTTAAAAGGATGCTTTCATTGATGATCATGTAAATGGTTACTGAATCCCATTTTGATTCTTCGAAGCTGCTGTCCATCATTATGGTAAGACTTGCTGTTGTGATTCAAAACCTTTTGGGGTAAAATTCTGGAGAAGAGGTGGAAAGGTATTCTGTCCCTTTCGCCAGCATTTTTGATATCTTTCTTAGTTAATGCTGCCTGCAAGCTTTGCACAGACTTCGTTGATTTGATAAAATCAGAAATAGGTTGGAATCAGAACATTAGATTGGCATCAGTTTGTTCCTTAATGCCTGAATTGAAGTCAGCATTTCCATTCCAGTTAGGAAAATTACTCTCATGCTAACATTCATTATTAGCCTCAGATTTTCCGTGCAGATTTTCTCTCGAGATAACTATATAGTTATCTACATCATAGATAAGGTGCTAGCAAAAGTTTCCTGTAAAAACAAAACAAAAGAAAATTTGTTTTTGAAAGTAAAAGGGGCTGAGAACACTGCATGTGCTTAATATACTTTTCTCCTCAACTGATTTCATTAATCTTTTGAAAATTTCTCTCTTTGGTGGCTATTTGTTGTGTGTGTGTGTGTGTGTGTGTGTGTGTATATATATATATATATATATATATATACATACACACACACTCTTGAAATTTAATGTCAAAGACTGGGCAAAAGAAACAGAGAATATGTCTGGTTGGAGAAAGTTTTTGATGGCGACAATAGTTTTGAAGTCAAAAGAGTGGAACATTTGAAGGCTCTTGAAAAAGGCTCTTAGCAAAGGCAATGTAAACTCTATCCCAGAGGAAATTCTGTTTGGGTTTGTATGTAAAATCTGCAAGGAAAGTTGTTCTATCTCATGCAGGATTTGCTATTCATCAAAGATCATATGGAAATTAGCATTCTAATGCCAACTATGTGAATGTCCTTCTTGTCACACCTTCAGTGTATGAATGTTAGTTTTGTGAAAAAAAAAATTGCATGTCTGATGCCAGGTTGAAGCAGCACATGATGGTATTTGATGAGAAAGTCACTTTCAAGACTCTCCAAAAATATGTTACATATGTAAATAGGTTTGCAAGAGTAAGGCTGGTTGCAAATTAATGTTTGGGTCCATGATGGCCACTCAGTTCAACATTGAAGAGATGAATCTCTGTATCAAAATGGCAGTTATTTTTTATATATATATATATATATATATATATATATATTAATGTTACCAATAAACTTATATATAAGTGGTCACTGAAGTCAAGACTGAGTAGCAACAGTCTGTTGACCACTTATATTTACATATGCTTGATATAGCATACCTTTAAAAGTATATTTTTATCATATATTGGCACAAAGCCAGGATTATGCAGCACTCGGTGCAGTATAAATTTTTAGATTTTAGGAGCATTGTTCATGGTATTGTTCTCTGCCCCTTTGAAAAAAAAAAATTCTCAAAGTGCCTGGCAATAGGACATTGTGTCATGAGGCTTCTTAAAAATATGTGTGAAACTATTTTGTTGTTTCTCAATCTCAAAGAATATCTGATGTTATTGCTCTCCTGTAAAAAAGAAAAAAATTTTGGCATGTATAAATTATTTCTTAGGGAGAAAATTGTTCATTTTTCTTCTGAAGCATTATTACAGTGCTCTTCTTTTATCAAGAATAATAATTGAAATAAATTCTCTTCAACCAGACAGTTGATGAAAGTCTAGAAAGGTTGTTGGTATTGATTTGCTTTCTTATCAGTTTCCACAAGTTTTTGCTCATTTGATAAAGAAAATTCTGTTTTTGAACATCTTCAGCGTCCACATATTATCTGCACTGCATGAACTAGGCATTGTGTTTCTCAAAGACTGGATGGACTTGAGGATTTGCCAGAGACGTTGGATAAACCCAATACAGTGTTTTTTTTTTGTTATTTATTAATTTTAAAATCAGAATAATCGCTTGTAAAAATGCTGGCAACATTATCTTGCAATTGAAGCCACAATACTATTTCTCATCAACTTCCTTTCCAATTCACAGCCTTACTAATGAACTTATCTCGATCAAGATGATTGGAACTTGCATCTCTTGCTGATGAGTTTCTCTGGTATGTATTCAGCCATTCATCAAATTCTATCCACTTATTGGTGTGTCTGGCAATTGGGAACAGAAAATGTCACAGGTTAATTATAAATGTCTTGGCCTTTGTCACTTCTGGAGGGATTTTGTTTTTCTTTTGCTTTTGTAGAGATTTCAAGTTTTATTTGTTTTTTTGGGTCATCTGGTCTTTCTTTTGGGCATCTGTTTTCTTCATCTTATATTTACATTTATTATTTGCATCTAATGATTGTTTTGCTTGATTATTTCTCACAGAGGCTTCACAATTCTTTCTCTCCATTTATACTTTGTCTCTCTCTCTCCATTTATACTTTGTCTCTCTCTCTCCATTTATACTTTGTCTCTCTCTCTCCATTTATACTTTGTCTCTCTCTCTCCATTTATACTTTGTCTCTCTCTCTCCATTTATACTCTGTCTCTCTCTCTCCATTTATACTCTGTCTCTCTCTCTCCATTTATACTCTGTCTCTCTCTCTCCATTTATACTCTGTCTCTCTCTCTCTCCATTTATACTCTGTCTCTCTCTCTCTCTCCATTTATACTCTGTCTCTCTCTCTCTCTCTCCATTTATACTGTCTCTCTCTCTCTCCATTTATACTCTGTCTCTCTCTGTCTCTGTCTCTCTCTGTTTATTCTCTGTATCTGTCTCTCTCTCTCTCTGTTTATTCTCTGTATCTGTCTCTCTCTCTCTCTGTTTATTCTCTGTATCTGTCTCTCTCTCTCACTCTGTTTATTCTGTCTCTCTCTCTCTCTGTTTATTCTCTCTCTCCCCGTTTATTCTCTCTGTCTCTCTCCCCGTTTATTCTCTCTGTCTCTCCTCTTTCAATCTCCATTTATCTTCTCTGTCTCTTCTCTCTATTTCTGAAACATTTTCTATTTTGTAATAGCTGTACTATATATCAATTTCTTAGATAAAGCATTATTATTAACTTTAATCTTTTTTATCTTACATAATATTTTGTTTCTTTTTTTATTACCACACTAATCCTTTTACAATCTGTGGTGCTTGAATTGGAAAATAAAGAATTAGCATCTGATGAAATTTGAACTCTCATCCCACAATCTTAGGAACTCGTCAGACATTGATGACATCTTATGTATTAGGCTAGCATTAAAAATTCAAATTGATTCATCTAGCTACATTCATTCTAGTCTAATTTTCTTCACATTATATTCTGATAAAAGCAACAAAAATAAAAGAACTGCAACTTTATTTTTGGTTCCTAATTTTTATTCTCTCAATAATTTTCCTAGAATGGAAGCTGCTTTTTTTAGTAACAATATAGAAATCCTCATAACTGTCATGTCAATCATTTATTAAACATAGAAATCATGTAAATAGTCCCTCATTGTTTCTTAAGCATTTTCTTGTAAAATCTTGACTCATGGCCAAGTTGAAAATGGAACCAGCAAATTGGGTTCAAGCTCAAGTTGGGACACTTTGAATTCACTTCACACAATAACTCAAGAGAAAGGCATGAATCTACATCTTTTTCCCTGCTCCAGTTATAAGTAAATACTAGAATAGTTAAAACTCTTTTGTTCTGCAAGTTGAGCATCAAACTGACACCCCCAAGCCTTATATGAAATTCACTGGTTACTGAAACCGCAGCACTACCAGATAGTGTGGCTGATATCCTATGCTCAACATCAAGACTGCAGGAAGAAACAAAAAAAAAAAAAACAAATTCATTTTGAATATATTTTTCTCCTTAACATTCTATCCCCCCCCAGACACACACCATTTTGTTGTATCCAGTGCCTAATGAAAAACGAAAGCCATTCTTTGAACAACTTTCCTTCTGAACCAATGCCATTCATTTTGCTTTTTTGTAGATTTCATTTCTGTGACTGATCAATTTCACATTTTCTCTCACACTCTCTCTCCATGTAAAAATGTTTCATGTCTGTAAAAAGAATTGGTAATTTAGTGAGCAAAGACACGGACAAAGAAGCACAGATGAAAACCAAAATTCTTCTTGTCTGCAATTCCTGTTTGCCTCTGAAGTTCTTTATCTCTGGTCTGTAACAAAGACAAATTGTTGGCCACATGTGAAATTTTCCACTTAAAAAACACAAAGTGCTTGGTTTTGTTTCTGCCGGCCCCAAAATCCATTTGTGGTGTTGGCCATTGCTGTATGGCTGCAAAAACCCAAGATGCATGGCTACAATCAAAGAATTCATCAATCTGATGCCATTTCTTTGTTAAGATTCCATCTTACTTGACATCTGGCATGCTGTTGCTGCCAACAGAAATGCTGAGAGGAGTGGAATCTCTTTGAAGCTTGAAAGACAATTTGGAAATGGTAACATTAAAATCGGCAAACTCTTGCACTGATGGGTATAAAAGGAAATCTGCGGCATTGGAGGCTGGTTGTATCGCTCAACTCTTTGATGACATACAAGCTACTTGGACAGACAAGATATACTTTCTTGTCAAAAATACATATTTTGAATGAGGGGGTGAATATAAAACCATTGGGTATATGAGCATTAAACTTTTATTGAAAATAGTCTGACAGAAAATACAACTGCAACACACTGGCTCTTTTAAGTAACTACAAATTAAACAAATATTATATACTTGGATTACAGTAAATGATTATATATACAATCACTATATGAATGGGTTTCAAATAAGGGGTGTATCTAAGGCTCCATATTAATACATTGTATATTCTCATTAGGACTTAACACAGGCATTTACTCATACATACATATAATTGTTTAGATGGCAAATATATCCTACCATATATTATTCTACATCTCTTGCACCTGCTGATTCAATGCAGCAAGAATTGTTCTAGGTAGACTAGCTAAATGAGTTGGATATTGTCCCATACCAGAGGTGGTCATAATAGCAAATATCATTTATCCATATATATGAATTAGTGCTTTCTTTTTTAAATTATGTATCATTTAAAAATTCTGTTTATTTACAAAAATGGATACCTTTTTCTCTATAATTTCATCACTGTAGTCTTTGGGTAATTTTGCTTTTAGCATGTTGGTTTCATTCTAGGAATATTTAACAATGAGTAAAAAATAATGGAATATTTGTCTTATCCAAAATTAATTCACATTACTCTTTATTTACAGATTTTAATGTTTATATTTTAATTGAATTTTTTTATTTATATTTTGCTTTTATTCCCCACCCCAAGAAAATTTTCTGGCTTTAAGTGATTTGAACATTAAAAAATTTTCTTAAATCACTTGTTGTGAATCCTTCATTATTGCAAATAAGCAACAATCAAATTAATGAGTAATTTTCAAACAATATCTAATTTAAAAAATGCACCATTCAGATATAAGTTATCTCCCTTTAATTTTCTATATTTGGATTTTTTGCTGAAGTGAACCATTCAACAAAGTAAAGATTTGATTCAACAGTTTCAGTAAAGACAGCTTTTGGAAAAATGACATTCACTGTTATAAACCAGACCCTGTTCTATGGGACGGGGGGGGTCTGACATGCTAATCAGGAAAATTGTCTAATATAATGGAACATGGCGTATAGTATGGTTATCATATGAGCAGGCAATTCACCTTCTTGTTGCAGGAATAGAGCAGAGCAAGTCGAACAATATTCTCAAATGTACTCTCCACAAACATCAAAGGTGAACAAGAGTTGTAATTTATGGCACCCAACACGATGATGTCAGTGTCTAGGCCAATGGTTCAATTGCAAATACACACTGAAAGAGATCATTCCCCAGCTCCTCTTCACACATATATTGATCAAATACATGAATCCAGAACCTACACTGATCACTGTACATTAGTGCAAGGGAACTCCTGGTTAGAGACACAAATATACAGAATCCTCCTCCTCCCCCTATTCAACAATTCTCAAAAGTTGGGGTTGATACTCCTGGTAACTGCCATTCATTTTTACAATACCTAGCATTGTCTTACTTTTATAAACTCCAAATTTATTAAACATAAAGTTTCTAACTTACAATCTAGCTACTGAATTTCAGGATATTTCATGCAAATAACTTTTGTTTGTTTTCAGATAAGCCAGCTTTTATCCAAACTATAAAGAAATGTCTCTCCATATAGTTAGAGAGAGATGGTGACATCTCTCCATATAGTTATCTTTCATGCATAAAAACATGAACTTCATTTCTTGCCTTATGTTCATACAATACCACATGGTAACACTATCTTGAGTGGCTCATGGGCCTTGTATTGATTGAACATTAGTATATAAAATAAAAATAATGCTGTGTTGAGTATACATCAAAATGTTTCCCAAATCACTGACAACCCTATTCTTCAAATATTTATTACCTACAAAGATGTTTTCTTTATCCTTCCTATCCTTAAAATTGTCTTTTGGGAGCATATGTATGATGTTTACAATATCAACAATATGGATACCATATGTATTCTATCTGTACACATACAAGAACGAAAGTTGCACTGAGATGTGAAAACCTGAAACCCTTGGGCTTTTACAGTCTGATCAGAAGATTACTGAATGACGACAAAAGCAAACATCAGTGTAACATTGACGATCTAAGGGTCTTGGGAATTTTAAGAGTCACCAATTTCTGATTATAAAGATTCAAACTTGAGTATTTTTCAAGCTGCTGCTTTTAGCAGACTTTGCCTCTTACTCGCTTTGCTCTAGACATGTTGAGAAGAATGTCTGCATTAGTGTGGTTCCTTATTCTCTCCTACTTTACCCTCCCAGCTCAATTCTCCAACACCTGAAAGCATTCTTCACCATGTCTTTTACACCTGTCCAACAGATGTGCACATTATTTAGTCAGTAGTCTGGTGCACTTTTACTGATTCCAGCATGTCTTCCAGGATAGACAACTTGTAACATCAGTTCTGCAGCTGCTACTGAGTTGGTGCCTTGCTGTAAGGTCAAAATAAAATTATTGCAGCAGCATTTTGACTGACACATGAAGTTTCTGTTTTCTTCTCATGTTTGCCAAAACGTTTAAGAACTTTTTATGTGTGGCTTTGGTCTTCTGATTTACAGCCAAAAATGTATATTAATTTCCAAACTGGTTTGTTTTCTGACCTCACATTTTTAAAATGTTGTTTTCTTATCATGTTTTAAGTACTTTTTTTTTTTTTTTTTTGTTAACAAACAAAACCCAGTGAGTGTAGAATATTTAACTAGAATATTTTTACTGTGTATCTCTTTTTTTCCAAGATGATTTTCTGTTAAGTTTCTGCAGTGTTGACATTTTTTCTTGTATTTATAAATATCATCATCTTCATTACTTTTAGAACACCTCAACTAATACCATTTTAAATAAATCTTACTTCAAATGGTGAATTTAATCAAATTCTTTTGAAATCTATTTTTGAAATGAATGATCATTAAAATCCAGTTAGATTTATTTTTTCTCATAGAAGAAGGGTAGATTTTTCTGAGTAAATGAGTATTTTCAAAAATACAGTATCAATTAACACTGTCTTTTGACTGGTTTTTTTTTTTTTGATCCCATTTGTAATTGTGCTAATATTTTTTTACCGTGCAGATGAGTTTTCTAGTTATAGAAGGCACTTAGAAAAATTCATGAATCAGTCAAATATTTAGAACAGAATACTTTTGGTTTGGTTTAGTTAAGATTATTTTTTAATAATGATCTGAAAATTTGAACCTTTAAAATAATGCTGGATTACATTAAGCTTTGCTCAGATCTCACATTCAATTTTAATGGGTTATTTTAGCTTGAAAGGATTATATATATATATATATATATATATATATATATATATATATATATGTGTGTGTTTTGACAGCAATTTTTCATTTAAATAGTTTTTTTCTAACATTTAATTTTCACATAATTTTCTCCTGTTTTCCAACCTGGTAACAAATGTTTGGTTGCACTGTGTGTTGAATTTGTCCCAATTGGATATGTTCAAATGCTTTTAGCCATTGC